AGCAGTATTTTTTGTGGGGTTTTTTCTCGCGAAACCTAGTCGCCTTTGGCGGTTTTCGTCTGGGCTTCAAAGCATTAAATAAGCTGTTGACAATCATAATTATGGATTTATTATTTATACTATAGTCTGTCGGGGAGAACTTAACGCGTTACCGGGGCTCCGGCTCGACGTGCAGGAGAAGGAGCGGGTTGGTTTTTAGTCAGTAACAATCTGACACTCCCTCCCGCCTCACCCAGGCGGGAGCAGCCATTCGATGATTTTCCCCCCTTAAAAAAAATCTAGAGTCTAATGTCTAGAGTCATACAATGAGATTTCCGAACAAATTGTTCATTGTGAGGTATAGTAAAAGTAACTTTTTGTTTTTGTTTTCAGTTAATTTTTAATTTTCAGTCACTTTATTAATGTAGCAGCATACCTTTGGAGCAGGGTGTTACGTTAAGTGGTTAACGAAAATTAATTACATTATATCTTATTATCTGTTTAAACTGTCAAACACCAAGCCGTCACCGGTGACCGCGACCTATTGTTCTTTAATTGTGTCTATAAAACCGGTACTCGACGAGTTAAATTAAATTTATTATCATATAATGTATAGAAAAAATGCTTAAACGAATATAGTTTTACGAATTCAAAGAGGACGGCGTACCTACATATGTTCAGTTGAACATATTTTTAATCTTTTCAGGCTATGAAGTAATTTTTAATTTATCATAAGTTCATGATCAGAGGCTTTAGTACGAGTTGTAACTACCCAGAGGCCTTATGATTGGTTGGTTCATTGAACGGTGGCCAATCACAGCACCTTCGATTACTTTAAACGTAAAACATATTCGTACCAATGCTTCTGGGTAGTTACAGTTAAAAAGTGTATCAAACGAGAAATGTTATTAAGCTTAACTCTTAACTCAGTGTGACCAAAGAATTTAACTAATGAAATTATTAGTCACGGTACGAAGTCAATAATAGCCAATAATATTTTTTTTCATGCTTTTTTATAATCTAATTTGGTATGAAGTGTGGGGACGGTTGCAGGGTTATTTAGATTTTTGTTAGACATTGGGAATGGACTAGGAATTTGTATAGTTTTTGATAAATTTGTTTAATTAGTATACCATTTTACACATAGGTAAACTAACGAACTATGTAGTGTTTTTTTTTATTGTCGGAATGGGCTAGGAGTTTGTATAGTTTTCGATACATTTGTTTAATTAGTATACCTACCATTGTATACATAAACCAACGAGGTATGTAGTGTTTATTGTTTTTTAATTTATGTTAGACATTGGGAATAGACTAGTAGTTTGTATAGGTATCGATACATTTGTTTAATTAGTATACCTACCATTTTATACATAAACTAACGAAGTAGATATATACTGTTTAATTTTTTAAAATTTTTGTTAGACTTTAGGAATAGACTAGGAATTTGTATAGTTTTCGATACACTTGTTTAATTAGTATACCTACCATTTCACATGTAAACTAACAAAGTATGTAGTGTTTCCAGAAGGTTTGTAGGTTTGTAATGTTCAATAGAAATAATTCTAATTCTAGATAGTTAGACTAGTCTAACCCGCGAATCGAACTCTACGAAAAGCTTCGCTTTCATTATAAACTTGTGATAGTCACGAGAAAATCGATAAAATATCAAGTGCATTGATCGCTTATCATGTAGTTAACTGATAATAGTAAAACCTGGCATTTCTAAATCCTACTCTTTATATCACCATCTGTTTGGAGGTTTCATTAGAAAAAAAAAATCTACAAAGAGGTTTTAAGTATAAAGGAAATAAACAAAAGAAGTAAACGATATGTGTATACCTATACGATATAAAAAGCATATATACGGTCGAATTAAGAACCTCCGCCTTTTTTGAAGTCGATTAAAAATATTGGTTATTTATTTGCATCTTTTAATGGATTTCTTCGTCTTCTGTCTTTCCTTATATCATTTATCTCTTTGTATCTTTTTTATCATTGTTGGTTTTTTTAACTTTTATTTATACCTAGAAACATTTTGAACAATAAAGTTTATGCAGTGGGTATAAAAACTCCGATTTATGTGTAAGCTACTGTTCCCATTTTACGGTACAATTGCTGTTTAGTTTCCAAAATAAGGTAGTAACTACAAATTAAATTCAAAATGTTCTCATAGTACTTAAATATCAACTATGCATTTGTATTCACGTTACTTAGCTTTGACTTAAGAAAATTATAAATTGGCTACTTTACGTCACACCAAAGTTATTGCTGCCAAATCCTGTTGGCAACTAATCTTGTTGTAATTGGTCCTTAACGAAATGTATATACCTACCTACATATATGTTATGTATGTGAGATATTCTATTTTTCTGTGTGAGAAAAATTCATTTGTCTGTAGGTACCGGACGAGTGGATTTTTTTCAGTGTTAGTTAGATATTTATTGATGATAAGTTAGTTTCCGAGATCATTATTATGTAACTATTAGGATGGTATTGATAATTCTAGGCCAGAAACTAAAAAAACCATTCCCTATTCAGGTAGCATTTTTTTTTACTTAATATTAAATGCTGAGTCTATCGCTATCTTTAAAAGACGAGTGAGAGAACACTACCTTTCCTCCTGATGTGTAAATTTCTTCATTTATATGTGTAGTTTATATTTTATTGTATGTATTTGTTTGGTTTTTTTATCCGTTTAGTTTTAAATCTGTTTCCTATCCCAATTTTCTATTTGTAACTACACACTGTGTACACACTATATTTTTATTACATTTCCAGCCCCAGGTGCACAGAAGAAATTCCAATAGGAATAGGTGGTACCTTTTATTAAAAATTATTTTTAATTAAAAAGAATTAATTTAAAATCTTTTTAGAATTTTTATTTGTAGCTTTAACAGGTTCAATTCCTTACACTACACCTAAGTAAGTTAGTGGATTCATAAATGGGCCCGAATATCTCCTTACTGGGCCCCCAAAATTCTGCTAATGAATGTCAATTACATGTGAATGGAACAATTTCACACATTTGGTGTTTTGTTCCATCACGATTAACAAGCTATAATTGAACGTGAATTAGTTGAGAAAATAAGTGAAAACCCATTTTAACAACAGTGTGTTTTTTTTATACCATGACGGTGGCAAAAATGTACACGGCCCACCTTCTGGAAAGCGGTTACCGTGGCCTATGTACGCCTGCAACACTTTTTTTTAAGGGGGCAAGATCATCGAATGAACTGCTCCCGCCTGGGTGAGGCGGGAGGGAGTGTCAGACTCTTACTGACTAAATACTACTCCGTTTCTTCTCCTGCACGTCTAGATGGAGCCCCGGTAACCCGTTAGGTTCGCCGCGACACGCCTGCAACACTTGGGGCATTACATGCGTCTTGCCGACCCAATATATGTCGTATGATTTAAGCATTGCATAAGCAGCCTTTTGTAACAAAACTCAATAATCGATTTCGTTAAAAATATCTCTGGATTAATCTTGGTTTTTAATAGAAAATCTATACTTCTGATGTTTTTTTATATATCATTTACATGGTTATTTCCAACCCGCATGCAAGGTGACCACCAAGCATGGTGATTATTGCTCAAACCTTCTCCGTATGAGAAGACGCTTTGCTCAGCAGTGGAAATTTATAGGCTGTTGCTGATGACATGGTTATTTCAGCCGCTAGACAGGATATGCCGAAGTCTATTAGTGATCTATACTTTGAAGACGTGCTATGTCAATGAGTTATTATATTAACATGAATTATTTTACTTACGATTAACCTAATTAACTCTGAAACTAGACTATCATCGGCTCTTAATCTTTAATGATACAAACAATATTTTCATATAATTATTTTATGCGAGACCGCAAGAGTACTGAACTAGTAAGGCGCACACCGTATAATTTAATTAATTTAGTAGGTATATATATATATGTCGCACAGTAATTATTATACCAAAACAATACTTTAATTTCGCACAGCCATTCAAAAACTGTTACTAGAAACTGCTGCTTGTATTTTGATGCAATTATTTAAAGAAAAAGTTTTATAGTCGTGTATCAGTAACTAGTTTAAATGTTTAAATAAACGCATTGTTTAAATGGTTGTTTTTATGTTATTATAATAGTTTATATGGCACCTTTAATAATTACAATTCGTCATACATAGAACTCACAATAATAACTCCTTGTTATTTCATATTGTTTAATAAAATAACTATTTGATTTTTTTATTCACTTTTATTTTATTTTTTTCTGTCACGATTCATATAAGATGACTATATATATATATATATATATATAAATTTATTGCTGTTTGTTAGTCTCGCTAAAACTCGAATATGCTAGACCGATTTGGCTAATTTTGGTGTGAAATTATGTGTGGAAGTCCAGGTAAGGTTTAAAGATGAGAAAGAAATTGGAGACGGTACAAAATTTGCCAGGACAGCCAATTGAATATAAATGTACATGTTTTCTATATACGTTGTTGACGTAATACATACATACGGACTTGATGCAATATTTACTATGCATGAATGTTATGGCCGTCCGTATGTGTAGTACAATACATGTTGTACTATCATATATTTGTACAAATGGCTATCTGGTAATATATTTTATGTCAAGTATGGTCATAAGAAGTTTACACATGCTTTAGAGTCAAAAAGTATTTTTGAATGAATAGCTACAAATATTTGTTAGAACTTTTTATCCGACTGAAGGAAGGGTATAGCTTTGCGAGCGAATTTTACCGTGTGTGCACAAATAGTGTTTGTAAAAAGATCTTGGATAGAAGTTGTCCCATTTGACGTTTCATTCATAAAAATACAGACAAACACGTTCTTAAAATTACAATTTAATGTTTCGACTTGCATAAAACCTGTACAGTCGTTAACTAATCGCAAAGTTATAGATTTATAAATACATTTTAATTATAACTGTGCTAACGAGTGGTATCTTCCAAGACAATTTTAAAATAAAATATTACAATTATATAAAATTAAATAGTATAGAAAATACTCACCATAACTCCAAGCTAGGGGTAGCATCACTAGGAATATAATTTTGATCATTATGACACGTTCACTGTCGTTTTTAATTTCGATAAATAAGAACAGGTAACACCTCTAATAGGGCACAATTAGAGTATCGATAAACACGAGTATGTCGGTCGGATGGCCAGTGTGTTGTGACGGCTACACTCAGGACCGCGCATTATTAAATATATTTTACTGCGCTTATCACATCACTAGCGATTTAACGAAATACAGACTCGCCTTATTTATAATATTATTTTTTATTCAATTTTTACGGTGTAAATTAAAATTTTATATGTGAACTCACGCGTGTAGTGCTGTCGACTCGTATGATTTATGTTATTTTATTCATAAATATAATCAATAGACTAGATTTAATTTTTTTAATCACTATACTAAATATTAGTTACACTTTTTAATAAGTATAATATACTCTAAAATATTGAATAACGCGCATTATAGATAACTTCTATTGTAAATTAATGTAAACAGTATATATATATTATCTCCTAAACATGTCATAAGGTTGAAAATCAATATAAATATTTATAATTTTATCGGTTTATTGTAAAAAGCTAGGCATGTAATAAAACATAGCTTATTATAATAATTATGTTCCCTTGTGATGAGTTTTATAGGGCCAGCAGCTGCGATGACTCACAAACTGGTTTTCAAGATATATAAAATTATACAAGGCTTGACAAAAGGAATGAAATATAAATACTTTAACATACAGTTAATTTTATATAGAGGTGTGCCTATGCCCTTGAAAATAACTAATTTATTCATATTAATTATATTTTATTGACGGATTAGAAATTACTATTCATTCATAAAATTAATCCTTTGCAAGTTATTTAACTCGTACACAATCATAATTATGATTCCCAAAATATACGTAAGTTCATACAAAAGTAGTCTCTAAACATCGGAAATTAGGTCTATAATGGAGAGCGGTCTTTGGTGACCGCTTAAGGGCATTATTTAAATATTTTTTTCTTTTTCTTTCGCAAATTGGGCGTTTATATTTTTACATAGTAATCGGGAGTATGGGAGTGATAATTTAGTACTAGATGTTTTTTTAATTGTTCTACCATAAACTATTCAATTAAAATAGCATAACAATACCTATATACCTCTGTTTTGTTATATATATATATATATTTCTTCTGTGTATTGTCTATGTGGTGTACATGAATAAATAAATAAATAAATAAATAAACAAATAAAATATAGTATAATTTTATTCATTGTGCAAACCTTGTGCTTGTACATTATAGTTAGACTATTCACTATCACTAGTATCACAAGTTGTCAGTATCACAAGTACACAGCATATTTTGCTATTGGGAAATCCCACGTTTAGTTGATGTCTGCCTATATATACCTGCATAACTACCTCCATGACGAGTCCAGTATTAAAAACTAGCTCCAGCCACGCGGATTCACTGCACTCGGCTCCTATTGGTTGTAGCGTAATTATAGCCTATAGCCTTCTTCCAAAAATGGGCTATCCGACATAAAAATAATTTTTCAAATCGGATTAGCAGTTCCTGAGATTAGCGCGGTCAAACAAACAAATAAACAAACAAGCTCTTCAGCTTTGTATAAGATATGAGATAAGAAAGACGGGTAATATTTTTGTACTATTGTAATGAATGAATGTAAAAAGTATGGTGTGTAAAGATTTTTATCCTCTATGAATAAAAATTCAATTTGAAATGATCCATTACTTCGTTTTCTTTGCGAGGTATACGATGCAGTTAAGACATTTAGCATATATAACTTGACAAAAACTACTCTGTGCATGAATAGATAGTTCCTATAAAAATTCTCAAAAATACCACGTACTTTTGGGTTTACACATGATATATCTAAGTATTGTCTTAACTCATAAGCCCCTAAGCCAGGTAAAGTCAGGCCTTTTGAGTCCTATGTTTACAACATACTTTATGTAATGTTATGTAGGTATAAGTATCTTATTTAAAAATAGTTTTTCTTGCTTTATTTTCCTGTACCTCTATATTATACTTATCTAATTTTCACATTAAAATACCAGCTCATATTGACATTAGCTAGGATATGCCAACAGTAACGAGGTTGACTGTCCAGTGTGCACTTACTCAAGAACTCATAATAATATACATGAAAAGGTTAGTTTTTTATAGTTTTTTGCATATTTACCGGCAACCATATTATTTTATTTTTTATTTTCATTGTTATAACACGGATTACGGATTGTTTATTTCAATTAGAGGTCAAGGATTTTACGTAATCTGCGGGGGTTTATCCAGTTACTAATTATGTGCTTAATTTAATTTAGGTAGGTATTCATTGTTTTAGTTTTGTTGAACACTTTACAACAATCTTGAGAATTAATATCGTGTTTTAGTTTTAATTCGCATTTCATCGTGTTTCATTTGTTTTAGTGAGTACTAATAATTCATTTCGTAGCTTCTATCGGAGACGAACGTCATAGGACATGAAACCAAGGTATGAGGCTCTTGCTACGAATACTATCATGGAAATCAATATTCAAATGATATTTCTCCTCAAACGTACGTATACCATATTACCTTGCAATTGCATTTACGATCTTTATTTATACTCCAAGTCTAATAAATAGATGTAAATAAGAGATGCAAATGCCCTCAGCTGCGCTATCAACTGATCAGGTGCAAAAATATCCGGGGGCAATGCCATTGATGTTCCAAGAGGGAGCTCCTTCTAGGGCATCTCATGAATACTCCTTAGGTCGTACCATTTCAATAGACATTCTATTTAAATTTTCTAGGTCCTTATGTCTAAGTATTATGTACGTATAGCTACAACTATATTAAAACAATGATTTTGATATTTGGCTACGCTCTACGCGTACAATTTATATTTAATATATTCAATTCTATTGTATTGTTGCACTATATATATATTAGCGACAATGGATTATATAAATATATGTTTTATAGTAATAATTGAACAGCTACATTGGTTAAATGGTCGCACGTGCGATTTCTTAACAAGAATTATTCGGTATATAATTGACCATTTATTCTAATCGAAAACTTGACATTTTCTGCTTCAAAATTAGCATAACGATCTTCTCTGGTATTATAGGCTCGTTAACAAATAGTTGGATACACATCACACCCAGAACATTTGTGGTTCATTCAAATTATTTGTTTTGTACGAAAATAAAGTCCGCGACGCGTGGCGTATCACGATGGTTCAATTCAACGACTTCGCTAAGCGTACAGTCATAGGTAAACACAATGTGCACAGTAAGTACCTACATACCACACTTTTACATTACCTTTTAGATCAGTATAATAATTTCAGCCAGGTCGCGAATGTGACTAGCTATAGGCAATACCGAGGGCCAGCTCGAAACAAGATATGGAACGGGATAATACATCCATAATCCATAATCCATAATCCAATCCAGAACAGTCCAAACTATTTTTTTATGGCATAAGCCGGTAAACGAGCAGACGGATCACCTGATGGTAAGCAATCGGCGTCGCCCATGGACACCTGGAATATCAGAGGCGTTACAAGTGCGTTACCGGCCTTTTGGGGATTAGGAGTTTGAGGATCGTTGGGGATTCAGGAATTGGGGAGATTGGGGAAGGGGAGGGTAATTGGCCCTCCGGTAACCTCAGTCACACGACGAAACACAACGCAAGCGTTGCTTCACGTCGGTTTTCTGTGAGGCCGTGGTATCACTCCGGTCGAGCCCGCCCATTCCATTTACCCTCACGGGCTTATTCGTCGTTTATCCTCATTTTTTGTCGTATAATGACGTTTAACACTGTATTCTTTACTCACACACCAAACTTGCATACAAATAATACACTGAATTTTATTATTGTTGTAGCACATAAGATGAAGATGTTGAGATTAAAATGTGTGTCGCGGGCCACATGAAACCCCCTTGGATCAGGGCACAACCCAATCCATCCATATAATAGATACACCTAAGGACTTTGACAGGAAGGCGGACACTGTCACTTGGCACTAGGACTGTGGCACCTGGCTACTATAAACTCCGATACGGAGCCGCGGAAGACTTAACGGGTTTCCGGGGCTCTGGCTCGAAGTGCAGGAGTAGGAACGGGGTGGTTTTTAGTTAGTAAGAGTCTGACACTCCGTCCCGCCTCACCCGGGCGGAAGAAGTCATTGGATGTTTTTACCCCCTCAAAAAAAGGCTACTATATACTTAAATGCGTAACATATTGATACAAAGGATATCTGTCATTTTCTTGGAACGTGGTTACCCATTACACACGCACATATAAATAACCCACGTATATTTTGGTACTTCAATCAATTTTTGTTTTTATTCTCCTTAATTTTATTTTTTAGGGGGTTTTTATCCATATGGATACGTCAACCCCATCGTACCTTATCTAATTAAATATACCTTCAATCATTTCTAAGTGGTATATGTCCGCCTTTTTTTCTTTTCAACGTAAGTAGTTGGGTACATCCATACCTATGTCATATTATTTTTTTTAAAAAGGCTACCTCACACTGGGATTTTATAGGTGTGTTTAGAAACATACATGTTCACATACAAATGACACCCAGACCCGGAACAACAATCTGTAGATCACACAAAGAGATGTTCCGTGTTACTTTCGATTTATATATTACTTTGTTCATCTCTGCCTATACTTATATACCTAAAGGCCTCATTATTGTCAGAGATGAATTCAATAGAATTTATTGTAGACAATTATAATCGTGGGTTTTATCGCATAAATGCATAGGTACGCGTCCAGTCGTATCTCTGTGGTCAAGGTTAGATGCTGTTATCTGAAAAGGTCGCATCTGATATAATAATATGTAATTAAAAGATAAACTATGTTATGTGGCAATCTCAATTATCAATAATCTTCTTTGTCAAATTCAAATTAATAATAACGAGCTGTTCTAGCTTATTTACAAAAATAAATGTTATTTCATTTCTTTCATTATTTCATTTCAGGGTGAGAATAAACTAAACGAAGTTTAAACGATGCATAAATACTATAAACAAATCGAAGTGGTCGCCATCTTACCTATTATGACAATTATAGAAAAAAGACGATTAAAAATGACGCATGCGCAACGCTGATGAAGATCGATGATGTTCTGTTTATTACAAAAGGACGATTATAATTATTTATAGTACAATTTATGATATATTTAACTAAGAAAAGATGGTGTTATACTTTAATATAAAAAATATTGTATAACTGAAGAGTGTGTTTGTTTGTTTGACGGCGCTAATATCCAACTATTACTAGAAGCCATTGAACATCATACAAGAATCAATAGGAATCGAGCAGCGAGTAAAACCAGCGCCTCTGTCCTTTGCATTTTCAGGAAATAAACGAATGTTTAAACGTTTTTGTTTGTAAACACAAATAAAATTGTTTTGAATCTAGTTCCTTATTAGATAATCCTGTACCTACTTGTTTCAAATAAATATAGAGGCGTATACATAGAGGTATAATTAATGTGGTCGTGCCTCACGAGTGCTCACGATGGCTCTGACAGAATGTGCCATAATGACGTCATGGGACCCCGGATCTGAGCATCAACAAAACTACTGGTTTTGTAAACATTACCTGATTTTTACTTACTTAGTTATACACCTATTTAGGACTGTAAAGTGGTGTCAAGCACAACTGCTAAGCGCGTCCGCCAAAATGCTACAGGTCTTTTTTCCAATGAGTTCTCCCGCTGTGGGTTAGTCGAGAGGAGTGTCAGACTCTTACTGAATAAAACCCACATCACCACTGGTCTAATGGCTCTTTGAGGTGCATGCGGAATGCGACGCGCCGTACGCACTGGTCTGGTTCTGGTCGGTAGCGAGCTACCCTGGCTCGAAGTGCGTCCTGCAAAGGCTGGGCCGTGAGGAGGTTTGTTCTCTTACCCCCCTTCCTACTTGGCTAGCATGACTGCTTAGCAGAAGGAGGAGACGGCATCCAAGTCCCCATCGCTCCGCACCCTGACCTAAATCAGAGCCGGACGCGAGAGGTCGCCGTCGCAAAATGGGACTGGTTTCACATATAAAATATCTGGTAGTAACACGTAGTTTGGAATTTATATTGGTATAATAATATAGCGATAGATTTCCCCTGTAATACATGGTACTTATAACAAAACCAGTAAGTAATGGAAGGAAATTTTTGAACATTTGATTTCAAAGACGACAATTTTGAATAAAGAACAGCCCTCAATGAAATGGTTCTTATAACAAACAAGACAATAGGTGGAAGACTTAAGTTCTCTGCTCTTCGAACGCGATAATAAACAATACATTTTGTTATTATGTTAATGACTTATATCCAGGAAGGCATCTTTAAGACCTTAAACTTTAAAAAACAATCAAATGTATGATAGGTTATCGGTAATCCACCGGTCTATTGTAAGCCTTGACTGCAATGGCGCCTTTATTATCAAAGCAGTAAGATTGATTTTTATAGTTCTACTACATATTTTATAATTTTTTATTTATTTATTTATGTAATGATGTTAATGTAATCTATGTTTGTTTAAAAATAAATATCAATTAGGCCTACTGAGTAGGCTGCGCGACATCGCCGCGACCACGCAGCTCATGAGGAAGAACCCCTCTGTGATTCGAAACTAGTAGAGTTTTTCTCAGTTACTTTAGTATGTTTCATGATAATTATTATTAATATTACACACATATATATTACATGATGTCGGAAACTCTAAATGGAAGCAGAATGTTCGTAGATGATGGAATCTTTCAAAGACAAAACAATTTGAAAATCGCCTAGGGCTGGAAAGTAACACATCAAGATCAATAAAACTCTATAGTACAATTGAATTTTAATTTATTTACAATATATAAATATTACAGTAAAATAATAACGATCACAGTACATTCTCAACTCAACGATCTCACATAAAATACATTAGTAATAATAAAAAATACAATAAATGAAAAAAGAATATTTTGGTAATTTTTACATTAATCAACTCCGAAATGTCTTTAAATATTTGTGACTATTTTGTACTTAAAATAAATAATCATATGACATGGATTTAATTGACTGACCTTTTTTTTTGGGATATTCTTTGACACAGAGATTTATTGTCGTTTGCCCAATGTATTGTAAAGTTTTAGGTGCCTGGGTATAAACGTATAGCAAAAGAACACAGTGTTACTTAAAAATCCGTTGAAAATCCATCTACAACTTTGTTATACAATCAAATTTTCAATATATTTTCATGCAAATGTTAAGCATTGCCATTCAACGAGGCTATACTGCCAGTCTTTTGGGCACGATAGCGTGAGGACAATTGTTTTTAATTCCTTAAGGTAACATTTTTATTATATTCTTAAGATGTTAATAATTTTGTTATTTGTATTTATAATTAACCGACTTCAAAAAAAGGAGGAGGTTCTCAATTCGACCGTATATATGCTTTTTTAACAATATAGCTCAGTTCCATGGAACGATTACTTAAGGCGTTAAAAATATAGACATTATTTTTTAAAAATCATGTGTACTATCTATTGCTAACTTAATATTATCTATTGCAATATTGAAATGTATATAAAAATAATTGCATTGGTTGCTGGTCATTTGAAATTATGTCTCTATCTTCATAATATATTTAGATTGTGAATTTTATAATACGAAAACATAAAAAAATTCTAATCTTAATAAATATACTTATATTTACCATCTTATTTTACAATTTAAATAATTAGGCTCACAATTTCTCTACGAAATAAACTTCAATATTAAACATGGCAACTTCCACTCAGATTAATCCATATTTTTATTCAAATTACTGTAGAAAAAGACTCTTTAACGCGCCGATGTCTTTGTCAAGTACTGCTAAAGGTAATTTCTTGAGCTAAAAACCAATGATCACTTCAATATTGGGGAGAAAGACAATTATAGGCCAATGGTATCTTATGTACCACATATGTAAACTAATATCTACTTAACTACATAGTGCAAAAGGTTTATTTTAGATCAAAGTGATATTGATAGCACTGATCGTGAAAAGAAGAATTAACAGAAAGTAGTAAAATAACATTAGACATGAAAATTAACACACGAAGGGCACTACAGTGATAGCCAATAGCAAGTTCAAGGCAGATACTCTAGAATCCCAAAAATGTTAACAGACTTGTACACATAAAACAGTCGACCATCGATAAACAAGTCATCGATTACGAATGCTTAAAAATACAGTAGCGGCACATCAAACTACTCCAATGTATCAATTTTTGTCACTGGTTTTTCGAATTTAGCTCTAAACGATAGGGTTGAAAATCAAATAAAGAAATTTGACAGAAAAGGGGGATTACTCTTGAATCCAATTCCAATCGATCGACATTGGTATTGCGAAATTTCGCATTTGAGTTGCAACATTAGCGCCCATTGCATCCGTATTGCGTGGATATTGAATGAAATAAATGATATTGAGTTTGGCTTTATATCCCGTACTCTAAATGCTATATTAACAGCTACGATTGTGGTTGTATAGTTTTGACATTGAATAACTATTGAGATTGGTTTCAAGAGTAACCCCCCTTTTCTGTCATATTTCTTTATTAGATTTTCAACCCTATCGTTTAGAGCTAAATTCGAAAAACTAGTGACAAAAATAGCAAAATAAAATAGTAAGCACCCTGATCAGGGTGCTTACTCTAGAAACCAATCTCAATATCAATGCAATTCAATCTAATAAAATCTCAATAATTATTAAATGTCAAAACTATACAACCCCTATCGTAGCTGTTAAATAGCATTCGGGGTACGGAATGTATAGTCAAAACCAGTACCATTTAGTTTATTCAATATCCACGCAATACGGATGCAATGGGCGCTAGTGTTGCAACTCAAGAGTACTAAATTTCACAATACCAATGTCAATCAATCGGAATTGGATTCAAGAGTAAGCCCCCAGGTTGACCTGCTACCCGCTGTTATCTGTAATGGACATACAAGCGCAATTTCTACTAAGCCAAACAATAAATATAATAAAACTCCACAGCCAGGTCAATGCACACAACACTCGGAAACCTAATAATAACTCACAGGTCCGGATATCGGTTTGGGTGTAAAATCAAATTCTTTGACTTTGCCATCGTTGTTGATAATCTTGTGGCCCCCAGCGTCCTCTGACTTCTGGCCGTTGATGTTCGAAGCTGTGTGGTACGCGTATTGGGCTTCTCCGTAAACATGGCCGCCCTGTGGTGGCTTCAGTTCACGCACGTTGGTGAAACTCAGGGCCTGTAACGAGATTATTTTTGGATAAAGTCGTTTAATACTGGTTTTATGCTTAAATTTATTTTGTTATCCACAATTGTTACTTTACAATGTATATTAACTACTTATAATAAATTATAGATAACTGTTAACGTTGTTTGATCTTTAAGTCCTAAATCGATTTTTGAACATAACATAACTTTTATCCCCGAAGGGGTAGGCAGAGGTGTACATTACGATTTTTGAAGTTTTTGAACGATCGATTAAAACGACCAAAGATGTTTTAGTAGTGCTGACCGCAAAATATGATACATAAAAACAGTCCCTGAAAAATACTGTCGAATATAAAAAAGCTTAGGTACTGGTTGAACGAGAGGACAGCACCATAAGCATACAGAGTATAAATAGAACGCCCCCGAAACGCTGACAAAAAATGTTTTTACAATTATAATCGTAATTGTTTTCCTGTTAGCCTTGAGCAGTTGATTGCAACTATTATTACATAAAAGAGAGATTCAATTTTTTATGTTTATGAAAATACAACTTACACCCTTTATTTTACATCTACTATTGTACTAAAATTTTACATTGAAATTATTTTTTCTTAAATATTTTCTTTATGACGGTGAATACTGTTTTTTTTTTAAGGGGGAAAATCATCGAATGGCTGCTCCCGCCTGGGTGAGGCGGAAGGGAGTGTCAGACTCTTACTGACTAAAAACCACCCCGTTCCTTCTCCTACACGTCGAGCCGGAGCCCCGGTTACCCGTTACGTTCTCCGAGACTATGACGGTGAATACTAATGTTCTACATAATAAGAGTTTGATACATATTGTGGTTACGTCTATCTACAGCTACACCAGAGACTTCTACAACTTACAGAATCCGCTTTCGGTGTGCTCGTACGGAATTCGTTTTTCTGAATATGTGGCGGTTTGCTATCGAGGTACGAGGACGAGTTTTTGTAAGCGAACTTCTTATCAAAGGAATTTGGGAACAAAGGTTTCTTTTCCAAGAACTTCTGCTGGAAGAAATGTCGATAGCTTTAGAACGGATGATTAATCATTAAAAAGTTGACCAACTACCAACGGCAAGTACAAACGTGACTTTTTCCGAGTTATAGGTACTTTCTAAGATTATCTAGACACCACTGACGAACGGACATCGTGAGGAAACCTGGGCTTATTAATATCTAATTATAAGTTTGTAATCGTCAACCCGCATTAAGCAAGCGTGGTGATTAATGCTCAAACCTTCTCCGTGTGAGAAGAGGTTTTGCTCAGCAGTGGGCACTTATAGACTGTTAATGATGATTTTTCAATCATCAGTTAATGATAGTTAACCGTAGAATAAAACTGATATTTAACAGTTTTTTTGTGAGGATGAATTGTACATTTTTTTTATATTTATGGGCAGAAGTTGGACCACTATCATTATCTCAGTTTACAGAAAAAAATTAACTGATGATTGAAAACTCTGTAACACTAAAAAGTGTAGAAGATAACAATATAAATTTAGTTTAATTTCCCTATATTATAAGAGTTAACGTTACCAGTCTTCATGAATATAAAAATGATATCAAATCATTGATATCATTTTATTACCATATATAAGACCTATATCTGTATGCACCTATGTTAACAAATAAAAGTGATTTGATTTGATTTGATAAATAAATGAATAAACCATTTACGGAGCGTTCTTTTCTCGCGGCTTTCGTGGGGCTTGAGATCATGTCCGAGTACAATTTTTCGAAGTCCCTTTTCTTTATGTGTTGTGTCATTTTATCTAGTCCATCTTCGATGGCAGATGCTACATAAGCCATGTAATCAGCATCACTCATTTTCGACCTGTTACGTGCTATTGTAGTCTGTAATTGAACACCATGATTAAATTGTAATTAGATACATACTTTTACTGCTACATTCTTTCTGTGACTTTTGGGACTCGCGTACATTTTAACTTCTTCATCTTTGGATATGTAATTCAGAAGTTCTTATGTGTACTCTTTGGAGGTGATACAACGGCCAAGAATATGCTCAAAAAATCTAGTAACTATAAGAATTTATCGGTTACCAATTTTTACAAATATTGTATTTTTTTTTATACCACGACGGTGGCAAAAAAGAACACGCCCACCTGATGGTAAGCGGTTACCGTGGCCTATGTACGCCTGCAACACTTGGGGCATTACATGCGTCTTGCCGACCCTCAAGAAACCTATTCACTCTCCTCTTGAAGAACCTCATGTTGTAGCCACTGGGAAAACCACGGCACACTTCCACAATCGTGAGGGTCCGTGGGAGAAAATGGATTAAGTCCAAAATAAAATAAAATTTAATGGTACGTCTTGTGTGGACGTTTTAGTTGTTTGTATTTTCATAGGCAACTTTTTAAGTACCTTTTGATTTTTTCCTTGATTGTTATTTTTGAATTTAATAAAGGATCTGTCTGTAACAGCTGGACCAGCCATATAATCTATGTTAGAGAACAGATTTGCTATCGGTATTTGTGATGGAGTGGGAACGTCAGGCTGAAATATAATGTATTATAAGCTTAACTACGAGATAAATGACCTACCAGCTCTTCATCACGTATATCTACTTATAGATTTTCATTTTTTATTACGGTAGGGAGTGTACCTTATGCCTCTAATTACGACTCCTGTTTTTCGTCTGGCATGTTTCATGTACATACAAAGAATAGTCTTCTTTTTTTAAATATGAAATTAATAATTCTTAGTGGCCAGTTGGTTGGTATTGTAAAAAAGCTTTAAGATAAAAATGAATATAGGTTTCAAACGCCTATGGAATCGTTTTGCCATATACGCAGAAAGATGTGTTAACTAAAGAGTAAAATATTTACTGTGACAGGCGCCGCTTTGTCAGTTGGTTCGTCTCCAAACGTATGACTATTTGCGTATCCTTATTAATCTTTTTAATTTTATTTTCTTTGTTGCTGTTGCTGGCAGGTTTTTCATCTTCTAAGAATACTGGCGGAATATTATATAAGTAATCGTCTGCTGCAACCGTTGTAGGTGGTGTTGTTTTTAATTTCCTACCAACATCGGCTACACGAAGCTGAAATATAATCTTATCAGTTAAGGTTGACTAATCTGTGAGATGTTAAATCTTCTAAATTACATTGAACTTATCATCATCGTGGATTAAGTGACACTTTCACTTGATGTTCAAGTGAAAATGTGGATGATGCAATTATGACCATTGATACACTAAAATGGATAGATAAGGAACAATATCAAAGAAAAAAATAAAATAACATAACTTCATGCATTTTTTATCCCCGAACGGGTAGGCAGAGGTGCACATTACAGCACTTGATGCCACTGTATAATGTAACACCCATTTTTCACTATTTTATGTTGTGAGTCCCATGTAATAGGGCGTGAGCCTATTGCCATAAACCGGGAACATTTCCAGACTCCGTGCTACTATTGAGATTTTTGACAAAACCCAGTATTACTTTGCCCGACCATTGAATCGAACCCGAGACTCCTTGCCCGGCAGTCGCATTTGCACTCGACCAACGAGGCAGGCGATAGAAAAAAATACTATCGAAATGAATTTCGCCATTTTTAAGTTAGTTAAAAAGGAAGTCGTGATGAAGATAAGAATTGGTCGTGAAGAAGATTAGAATTGGTACGCAGATTTAGCGTATCCTCATCAATTAGTAAATGCATTTGATTAAAAAAAGTAAAATAAACGTTACTAAAAATTGTGGTTCAGTAGTCATCATTGTGATGTCGAATGGTTTTGGTCTTTGTTTAGCCTCTGGTGGCTCATCAAAGTCTATGTTATACTTGAGACCATTATTATAATTTTCGTCTTCTCCAGCGTTCTTATACTGGAAGAAAATATCTCACATTATGAACCTAATTAAACTAGAAGAATGAACCTCTTTTTTTTTCTTTATTTTAATTATGAAGGGTTTTATCAAAATTGACAATGATGATGAGGAAAGAATGAACCTCTTGAGCTGCGATGAACTAAGCAAGATTAGTTTTTTATGGCGTAGTCAATATGATCCCCAAAAATTGATAGCCCTTGCTGACTGTAGACCTCACGGTTAATAATATTCGGTGTTACTAAGTAGTACCCAGTTCTGATGATTGCTGATTATATGTATTATTTCTTTGGCATATAGTGGACTTAATAGATGGAACGGACTTATTAGACGGAAACTTCAATAATTAATGTCAATTTAAACTAGTCTAAAGTAACCCGAATTAGTAAATTGTATTACTATAATCATCTATGTCTGACTTTAAGCTATCAAATAACAAGAAATGATTAAAGTAGAAAATCATTTACGGAAATTGGAGTTTGATCATTGTTTTGTGCAATTTCATTATCTTGTTCTGCTCCATTTAGGACATTGAATTTGTTTTCTTCTGAAACGTTAATCTCACGAGGCGGTTTGTCATCTTCTGTACTACTTATGAGTACATATTCATATTCAACATCTGGTGACATTGTGGAATTAGGTTGTTTTTTTGGCTGGAATTCAAAACTTCTTCTTAGGAGTAGGTACAGTTTTATAAATCCTAAGCGTCTCTTAGTATTTTGATTAGTTTAAAACGTTGACTTATTTAGTTATTGTACGGAAGTTATTCGGTATATGTATGCGTTTCCGTTGGCTTGCAGTTTGTGGAATTTGGAGCATTAAAAGGTTTGCCACGGAAGCCTGGATAGTTGTTTCAAGCGAAAAGATAGAAAGAACTTGCTGCTTCTGCTTATAAATCTTGTACCTATAATATTACGTTCCTAATGCAATTTGAACAAAATATCGTAAGTACTACATTCGGTCTGCACAGTTTCGGACATGCAGTCGTGCCTTCTTACAGCATTCAAGCTACTGTAATTTTATTAGTATTGCAGATAATATGCAGTCCATCTGATTAGAGTCGTACACAAAACCTAATTGCCGACGATTACTTCAAATTATTTCATCTTGAAGAACTCTATTTTTCATCGGATAAGCCGGTAAACGAGCAGACTGATCCATGATGCCGGCCGCCATAGACACCCGAAACACCAGAGGTATTACAAGTGCGTTCCTTTTGGGAAGTAGGATTTTAAGGATTGTTGGGGATTCGAGGATTGGTGGGGAGGTAATTGGACCTCCGATAACCTCACTCGCATGACGAAACACAACACAAGTGTTGTTTCACGTTGGTTTTCTGTGAGGTCGTGGTATTACTTCAGTCAAGCCGGCCCATCCGTACCGAAACATGGCTCTTTGACACTTAGAATTGTGATAATATAAGCACACACGTTTTGTAATAAATTAGCAATAATATGTTACTAATTTCTACTTACAGGGATAGGTACGACTGCCGAATTTCTTGGGTAATAGTCCTGTGGCAGATTGTTGTTCAGTTTTTGACTCGCGAAATTTGGCTTACCAGATACCGATCCACCGTACTGGTAGTGGTAATCTGATGCTACGTAGTCACCGGCTTTCTGACCAACTGGAGATATGATGGACGGGATCTGGAATCGTATAGAGTAAAGTTTTACTAATTATAATTTTTTATCTTTGCTTTATATTACTTTGTTTTATATTGTGCACTTTATTAAAAGGCCCTTTTTAAATCAAGCCACAAAGGTAGAGCCATTTTGACCCTTACGCACACCCGAATACTGAAAGGCTACTTCCTCAATTTTAAGATCCGTCCCATCTTTGTCATTTTACAAAGAAACAGTGCGACTTAACGGGGGAAAATCATCGAATTAACGGGGGAAAATCATCGAATGATGTGCTCCCGCCTGGGTGAGGTGGGGGGGGGGGGAGTGTCAGACTCTTTCTTACTGACTAAAAACCACCCCGTTCCTTCTCCTGCATGTCGAGCCGGAGCCCCGGCTACCCGTTAGGTTCTCCGCGACAAAATTGACACTTAGTGTGAATTAAAATTGAGTAGCCTTTCAGTATTCGAACGTTAGTCAGTTGATAACTACAGCTAAATACTTGTTTCAGGGCTAAGATTTCCAAAGAAAATAACGAGAAATAGTCATGTCAATGTGTTTTCACCTTTCTTCTTAGTTTTCAAACGAAACTCTTTATACTTACATGTGGGGCGTAACTCGTGCTGGGTGTGAAGTCATACTCTTTGACTCGTCCATCTTCGTTTATGATCTTATGTCCTGCGTTCTGCTCCGTGGTCCTGCCATTGACGTTTGAGGCAGAATGATACGCGTATTCAGCTTCTCCATAAACATGGCCGCCATTTTCTGGCTTCAGCTCCCTTAAGCTGTTGAATGAAGGAGGCTGTAACACAAAGATGAGAGATTTGGGTTAATGAAATTTTCAAAGATCGACAAATATCTTGGTTTCTGTATTGTTTTAGGCAAACAAATTAAGAGAACAAATATTACAGGTACTTTAATGGGTTAATAAATAGCTTGTTATAATGGATCACATCAGATCGTACATGGAGATCACACCGTGAGTAGTTATTGATACGTACTTATTGAACGAGAGACCATGAATGGTGAAGAGATTTATTGCCTAGGTAGGGCCTAGGGTGCCTCATCATACATAGACTTTATCACATATGTTACTAAGATCAGATCTTTGTCTCATTAGGACTTGGTCACTTATTCATTCGTTATATATATAAGGTAGGTATTGAGGCGTGTAGAGACGTTAGGTCCATCGGGTCCGAGTGCGTGTAAATTAATCAAAAACATTTCGAAACGCCTGGTCGACGCATCTCGTGACCAGAGGGCTGGTCTTTTTCTCGGTTAGAGGTTAACCATTGCCATACAACGTGGCAATGCTGCCAGCCTTCTGGGTACCTTATCCACTGATATCGATGCGGACGAATGTTTCGATGCTTTATGTAAATAGTTGTTTTTATTTTTTTTTAAATTAATTTTTATCTTAAGTTGTATATATTTAATATAAGTAATAATAGTTAGTATTAATTTTATTTAAGTTTTTATTGAAATAAATGAAATTCTAATTACTAGGCTGATATTATATTTACCTCTATATTATCAAGACCAAACATCGTTGATGACACACATTCTCGGATGCATTTGTGTATGCTACCTTTAAATACTATTAACAGGAAATGTCATGACGACAATTAAGTATATGAAAAACTAATATAAAAAATCCCCACATATTAGTTAGGTATTTGTGTATATTTAACTACTAATTGCACTTAATAGTTAGCAATCAACGAGTCTGTCTGTGTAAAGATATTTTTATTACGATAACTAAACTACCTATATTTATTGTATCGCACAGGGACATAGTTCTACCTATACCTGATGTAATTTTTTGTTATTTGTATAAGAAATTATTGATATTATTAGAGGAATCTGGCATAGGAAAATTTAAGTTACGTGATTTCTGCGACATAGTTATGCAGTTTGCAATTATTCGACTTACGTAATCAGTTTGCCTGTAATCAAATATTTTATGATGATTTATTTCATCCAAGAAGCAAAAGAGTATGTCTTAAGGTTGATGATCTAATAACTTAAGATACGGAACTTTACGAAATCAGAATCAAATTAACTGGTTTCAAATGAGGCTGGAGAAAATGTTCTAAAAAGTATTAAACGTACCTTCCATCCAGCTTGCTTCCCGAGATTGCTATTTAACCTGTAAATAAAAAAAAATCTTTAACATCTGCCATTTACTACCTACAACCGTGAACATATTGTGTTTGGGAAAAGTTGGAGGT